TAATATAAAACGGTGACTCAGAAAGCGAAATCGGTGAAATCAACTTTCGTTTCAGATTGGATCTGCTTTTATACGTTTTTGGCAAAAAAACACATATGGCAATGGAATAGCAAAACGATATTGTATTAGTAAAACTTTGATATGGTTTTTGGTTACCAGCTAGGAAATCATTTTTTCGATTTTATGTTTTTGCTAGTGATGATTCGGAGATTTAATTAATTGAAAATATAAATTTTGCATGCTAAAAAATAAATATTAGAATAAATATTGAATCTAAAGCTTTTTGATCGATGAATCTTTAGTTTCTCAGAATAGAAACGCCAACAATTCTTTCTTGTTTTACTATGTTGTTTTTAATGTGTATAATTATGAATTTAGCGAAAGCCATTTTCATTTTCGGGTAAGGAAATTCATCGAACTGATCTATTTTATCAGTTTGTGATAAACAAAAGAAAATTTATTAACAATCAAAATTTTCTTGAGTATATTTAGAAAAAAAACAAAAATATTTTGAAAAATTTATTACACCATGGTTTGGGCAGTTAATTTGCTCCATAAAAAATATTTTCGCAAAAAATAAAAAACTACAATTAAAACACAAAGAAAAAAAGAACCACAATTCTAGTTTTATGATCAAAGGCAAAGAAAAATTCTCCCAAAAGATGATAAATAATTATTAATTTAAAAAATATTAAAAATATTTTTCCAAAACCACTTTTAAAAATTTAAAAAATGAAAAGAAATAAATAATTAAATATACAACAACAAATAATCTATGAATAATAAATTATAATAATAATAAGGAATACAAGAATAGGTGCCGTGTTTTTCTCTTCATTACTTTTGTAATTTCTTTTCTGATTTTTTCAAATTTCAGTTCGAAAGAATTACAAAAAAAAGCATTAAACTTCATAAAACTGCCATATGTTTATTATCGCTAATATGTCGATTTCTCTCGCTATTTTGTCGCTCCATTTAACGACATTTCCTTGATAATACTTCGTGTTCAATATCAGATGCTTTACTGCACCATAGATGCTTTATGAATGCATTAAGTGGAGTTTAACAGAGTTTATAAACCTGTAATGTAGTATTTTTTCATAATAGAAAATTTTTTGTTTTTCATCACAGGTTCATAAACTCCGTATACCATTGCATATAATATGGCAACTAATTTGCTCCAAAAACAAATAACATGGGTAATAATTCTTCATTAACTACTCAAAGATATTTTGCCAAGATCCTATAAAAGGAGATCAAATCAAAACATCTATCGTTATTCCTCATATAATACCTACCCAAGTCGCGTGAATTTGTTAAATTCCTAAAAATATGATAGATTAGTATGCATGATAAATATGCGTAATTGAAGAAATTTTCTCTGAGACGCGAGTTTCAAGTTATCCGCCTAAAAGTAAAAAGTGCGTTTCCAAAATGTGACTACTGGCGATCCACTCGTATTTCCAATACAAAGAAGCTGAAGCGCCCTGTTGAAAAGTGATTAATCTAATCTATGAAAGACTAATCAGAAATAATGAAGCAAGACAAATCAAAAAACAATGCAAAATTAAAAAATCCGTTGATTCCTCTAAAATAACGAAAATCTTATATACGTACATTCTTACTTGTAGGCTAAGATAGGCGTATAGTGTATGCAAGTGCATTCTAAACTGGTTACCTGAATGTTCCATTCATATTCACTTTTGATCGTTTAACAGGAATGATCATTTGTCAAAGAGTAGGAAAATAAGAAATTTCAAGTTTTTCTAAATTGCATATAAACATAGAAAATTAAAAGACAATTCGGACTCTGTCTCTTCTTTATTCCTATCCATTCGCAACTACACTTTTCTATTGAACAACAGAAAATTTGCAAAATTTACGGAAATTTATAAGCCTATGCAATAGCAAAATAAAATAAATTATTATTGAAAAAGTCTATGAATGAATGAGAGAAGGAAAGAAAGAGGCGAAATTATATATAAGTTGAAAAATGCCTAGAAATAGATTAATGTCAAAAAATTTATTGAAAAAATATTATTGAGTAGAAGAGAGTGTTACAAAAGTTAGAGTAAGAAAGAGCGCAAAAATCAAGGAGAGTGCCAGAAAGATTAGAATGAGAAGGATGGTGAAAGCAAATGAGTGTTAGATTAACATTTGGCCAAAAATATTAGTTAGCAATATTAATATTAGTTAGAAAAGCTTAGAAAGGATGTTATAAAAAGAAAGAAAAAGCCTGTGATAGAAATAAGTCATAGATAAAGTTAATCCAAAAATAGTTGGTAGCACGAGAGATTGCTAGAAAGGTTAGAGTAAGAAAGAACGTGAAAGCAAATAAGTATTAGGATAAGTGTCACGTTTTTCCGAAAATATTAGCTAATAAAAAAGGCTATAGATATTATAGAAAGAAAAAAATAGTATTATAGAAAACAAGTCTTAGGATAAGATAAAGAAATGTTAAGCAAGAAATAGTTGCTAACAAGAGAGATTGCCAGAAAGGTTAGAGTTAAAAAAGGGCAACTAAAAGATGTTAGAGTAATATTTAACCTTTCTAAAGAAGTTAATGGAAACACTTATGATATATATAAATATATGTAATATATAATATAAATATATGTCTGATAAATGAAAGAAAATAAATTTATAATCATAAAAGTGATTTTTCATTATTGTTGGAAAGGTTAGAATAAAGAAGAGCGTAAAAGCTAAAAGGTATTGGAGTATGGTGTTTAATCTTTCTAAGGATGATTAGAAGGATGATTTACGGGAAAGACTTATTATAGATATATAGATATATGTCTGATAAGTGGAACAGAATAAATTTGTAATCATAAAAATAATTTTTCATTATTACAGAATTTTATATTTCATAGAAATCTTTATAAAATGAAATCACTGAAGGCGGAATTTGTTGAAAACAATGGCTCACTGTTACATCAAAGGTGATATCGTATCGCGCAGTATTGGTGATATTGGAGCCAGTGAACCGAGTAGTGGAAGGATGAGATTCGCTATTTTATAGAATGACAATGTACAAATTGTTGGTGATAAATTCTTGGTAATAATAATAGGATTTATCGGAGCCTTTGATTCTGTATAATTAGAATGATAGTACGTTATGCAGGAGATGCCCACCACTATTTCAACATCCTTAATATACTCATTCAGCAGTATGTAAATAACCGATAAGCGAACATTTCGCGAAGGAAGAGATGTTAGGGAAAGAGGAAATCTGTATGAAGTGGAATAATCACCTTCTCTGAAGCACTTTAATTCACTTCTCAAGTACATTGCAATTTAATCATCATAAATCACACAGTTTCTTGGCTGTGATTATAAACTTGTTCTTTATTAATATTACTTTTTTTAAATATTGCAGATATCAATAAAAAAATTCAAATAAATAAATAAAGTAAGAATAAGCCAATAAAAATTTAAAAAATATTTTTTGCAAAAAATAGAATTTTTTTCTATTGTTTGTAGCTAAACGATGCAATCTTCATTATATTACCTCGAAGCATTAAATTATAGTTAATTAAATGTAATAATTAAATGTAATATCTACAGCATAAATCGATTGAAATATTTGCTGTAAAGGCAGGCAAAAATGATATCATTCGCTTGTACGAAGAAATAGCTCCAGGGCAAATTTGCTTTAAATACTTTACAAATACGAGACTACATCTCAATTTTATGAATTTAGAGAATAATTGCATATGGGAGCGATCGTTCAAAATAAAGAAATTTAGGAATTGAATTTTTTTATTTAGTGCTGCTTAGATCTATCTTCAGTTTACATTGTTCTGGAGTTACTTCTATTTTGGGTGGTATTAACTTTGTGGTTATTGTTAAGAATATGGGTAGAACTTCTATTTCTTTGGATAGTTTTTCTTTATTTGTTTGCACTGTTTTTGTTATTGACTTTCTTTGGGTTTTTATTTACTATGGGTGGTATTACTGCTGTTATTTTTATCTAATTCTAATTTTGTTTTCCATGATATTGTTTTAAAGAATGAGAACTGATTTTGGTGTTTTTGTGGTATCATTCTCTGATCGACTTTTTGACTGGTTATATATAAAATTTTATGATAAAATTTATGATAAAATTTTTATAAACTCTTATGGGTCTATATTAAAATTATTTGGTGCTATAGTATTTTTAGCTATTTTGTTTGATTCTTTTTTTTTCTTTTTTTTTCTGCTTATAGTAATAATGGTGGTTTGGAATGAGGTAGGGATAATTTAGCATGGTTCATTGCCTTTTCTCTGGTTTTTATCTTTTTTGACTTCTTAGTGTAATTTAATACGTTTGATTTCCAATCTTGTGGTTTAGGGGTTATTAGAGTTTTTTTTTCATGGTTTTAATCTTAATTTTATGGTTAGATATTTGCCGCTATTATGGATTGAATTCCTTGCATTGGTTATAATTTTCTTTTGATGAATTTGGTGTTTGTCGTTTTTTGTTTTCTAATCTTATTGGCAGGCATTCGTATTATAATACGCTTGAGGATAATTAGCGTTTTGTTAAGTTTTTTCCTTCTTTGGTTTTGTTATGTGAGTATAGGATGATGAATTTTAATAGGGACTTAAATGTAGGTTCGGTTGGTCATCAGTGGAATTAGAGTCGTGAGTATTCTGATTATTCTGATTCTGGTGAATTTTTTTTGTGAATAAGTTTTTATTGGAATTTTTATGTTGTTCAATTAAAATTAAAATTTATTGAGAACTGAGTGAAAACATTCTAAATCCTAAATGTTCTTTTAGATAGGTCTTTGAATTTGATTGGCCTCTGCTCGATTGGCTAGTAGGTGGATGGTAATCGTGATATTGGATGGATGGTAATGGTGGTAATCCTTTATCGTATCAGCATTTATTTTGGTTTTTTGGTCACCTTAGGTTATGATTGTGCCTATTTTTATTATTAGTATTATTAGTCAGAGGAGATTATATTTGACTGGTAAGTAGGAGGTTTTTGGTTATTGGGTATGGTTTATGCTATTTTGAAGATTGCTTTAATTGATTGTGCAATTTGGGCTCATCATATATATACTGTAGGTAAGAATTCCTGTGCTTATTTTGCTGCTACTATAGTTATTGCTGTTCCTATTGGTGCCAAGGTTTTTACATGGTTGACTACTTTTATGGTATGCAGATGGTATTTCAGCCAGTGCTACTGTGGATTATGGGTTTTATTTTTTTATTTACTATGGGTTTATTTGAGTTTATTTTTATTTATTATGTTTCCTGGTGTTATTTTCTCTTGGTCTAGCTTAGATGTTATTTACATGATACCCGTTATGTATACCCGTTAGTCATTTTCACTGTTTTCAAGATGAGGGCTGAGTTTGGAGTTTTTGTGGTATTAATCTCTCATGAACTTTTTTGGTTGGTTTTATTTATAATAAAATTTTCATAGATTCTTATGGGCCTATAATAAAATTATTTGGTACTGTAGCTTTTAGCTGTTTTGTTTGATTCTCTTTATTTCTGGTCGTGCTTTTGTATCTGATTATAGTAATAATAGTGGTTTGACATGAGGTTAGGGATAATTTAACATGGTTCANTTATGAATATGGAGAATTAATGCAAAAGCGGGCGGTCGTCGGAGAAAAGGGTATGAGCCCAAAGGGAGGATTTTTTACAATCATTTATTGAATAATCAAAGAATTTTTTTTACTTAGTGTGGCTTAGGACTATTTTCAATTTACATTGTTCTGGAGTTCTATTCTGGATGGTTCTATGTTCTTGATAGATCATAATTTTAATACTTTTTTTCTTGATTCTAGTAGTGGTGGTAATACATTATCTTATCAGCATTTATTTTGGTTTTTTTGGTCACCTAGAGGTTTTAATTTTGCTTGTATTGTTAGGCAGAGGAGATTATATTTGACTGGTAAGTAGGAGGTTTTTGGTTATTGGGTATGGTTTATGCTATTTTGAAGATTGCTTTAATTGGTTATGCAATTTGGGCTCATCATATATATATACTGTAGAATTCCTGTGCTTTTTTTGCTTTTTTTGCTACTATAGTTATTGTTGTTCCTATTGGTGCCAAGGTTTTTACATGCTTTTGTATCTGATTATAGTAATAATTATAGTAATAATAGTGGTTTGACTACTTTTATGGTATGCAGATGGCTTTTCAGCCAGTGTTACTGTGGATTTTGGGTTATGTTTTTTTATTTACTATGGGTTTATTTGATTTTATTGTTTTTTATTTTATTTATTATGTTTCCTGGTGTTATTTGATCTTGGTCAAGCTTAGATGTTGTTTTAGATGTTGTCTGTTCCTATTGGTGCCAAGGTTTTTACATGGTTGACTACTTTTATGGTATGCAGATGGTTTTTCAGCCAGTGTTACTGTGGATTTTGGGTCATGTTTTTTTATTTACTATGGGTTTATTTGACTTTATTATTTTTTATTTTATTTATTATGTTTCCTGGCTTAGGCTTAGGCTTAGGCTTAGGCTTATGGGCCTTTTCATTATGTTTTCAAGATGAGGGCTGAGTTTGGAGTTTTTGTGGTATTAATCTCTCATGAACTTTTTTGCTTGGTTTTATTTATGATAAAGTTTTCATAGATTCTTATGGGCCTATAATAAAATTATTTGGTACTGTAGCAGTTGTTGTTTAGCTGTTTTGTTTCATTCTCTTTATTTCTGGTCGTGCTTTTGTATCTGATTATAGTAATAATAGTGGTTTGGAATGAGGTTAGGGATAATTTAACATGGTTCATTGCTTCTATTCTGGTTTTTATCTTTTTGTCTTTTGTTCTAGAATTAACACCATTTACGATTTTCGAAATATACAAGTAGGAAATTAAAATTAAAAAAATTCGAAAATGAGTATTTTAACGAATATTTTAATGAATATTTCAATGAATATTTTAAAAAAGCTATGAATGTTATAGAAAGAAACATTGTGACAAAAATAAACATTAGAAAGCATTAGGCAAAGACAGTAGCTAGCAAAAGAGACCGCTAGATAGGTTAGAGTAGGAAAGAGCGTAACAACCAATGCGACTGTTAGAATGGTCAGAATAAGAAAGAACGAAAAAGTTGATGAGGTTGCCAGGAATGATAGAGTAAAAAGGAACGTGAAAGCAAATAACTGATAGGGTAACATTAGGCAAAAATAGCAGCTAGCAAAAGAAACCGTTCAGGTTAGAGTAGGAAAGAGCGCAACAGCCAATGAGATTATTAGAAGGGTTAGAGTAAAAATGAGCGTAAAAATGAATAAGATTGCTAGAAAGATTAGAGCAAAAAGGGACGTGAAAAATATTAGGGTAACATTAGCCTAAAAATAATAGATAGTAGATAGATAGTTAAAATAAAAAAGGTAGCAAAAAAAGCTATATATGTTATTAAAAAAAAAGAAATAGTTGATAAAAAATAAGGGTTAAGATAACATTACAATATTAAAGAGTAGCTTTAAATAATAAAGTAATTGTTCAAAAGTGATTAGCCTAGCTTTAAGCCTCAACTGAACCTCTAAGCTTGCATACTTGAACCAAATCCCTATGCCTAATTCTGGAGCCAAGTATGCACATGAGTAAACAATACTTGGAAGTGGAAGTGGAAAAGTAGGCATTAATTATATGTATGCCTAAAACAGTGTTGAGATTCATTACTAAATGACTTTATCGAAGTTTATCGAAAACAATAACAATTCATATTGTTTATTAGAAAATAACAAATTTATAAATTAAATTAGACTTAGATTTTTAGATTTTAGATAGTTTAGATTTTTTTTTCGTAAATGAAAGATTCACATATTGTAGTACTTCGGAAAATCCCTGAACTAATAGCCAAACAATGTAATGTAACGTAATTTTCAATAATATTCGGAAGAAAAAAGGAAACTTTTATACGAAGGTCCTCTTCCAAGAGCTCGTCGAATCCGAATGCCGCACTTGCCGAGAATACGTGAGATAGTAATAGATTTTGTGCACTCTATTACTAAATATAGTTTTATGATTATTTGCCGTCTTTGATAACTCGCATATAAAACGGTCTATTTGCACCTATTTTATTCAGTGAAATCAGTGAAATCAACGTTCGTTTCAGATTGGATCTGCCTTTATATGTTTTTGGCAAAAAAATACATAGGTGGCAATAAATTGGGAAAACGATTTGTGTTAGTAAAATTTTGATAGGGGTTTTGGTTAACAAGAAGAAAATTATTTTTTTGATTTTTCATTTTTGTTTTTGATGGTTTGAAGATATTTAATTAGTTGAAAATATAAATTTTGCTCAAGAATAAATATTAGAATTGAATCTAAAGCATTTTGATCGATGAATCTTTAGTTTTTTAGAATGGAGACGCTAAAGATTCTTTCTTGTTTTAGTGTCTATGATGTTTGTATTCTTGAAGTATTATTTTAATTTTTATTCGACAAAAAATTTCTGCTTTATTTCTGGTGTATTCCTTGTTGGGTTTCTTGCCTCCTGTTCCTTGTAATTTGTTTAATATTGTTGTTATTTTGTTGTTTTTTCGTAGTATGCTAGTAGGTGGATGGTTATCTAAGGGTGTTTTATTTTGCCTGGGGCATAATATTATGTGATTTTTTTATCCATTTGTTAATTATTCCAGAGTAAGCAGGAAATTTTGCCCGTATAATTTCTTATTTTTGTACAGGTTCTATATCTGCGTTGTATCTTGGTTGGTTCAGGTGTAAATTTTTATACTTTGTAGATTGTTCCTCCGTTGATCAAACGTGATATTAGTTTAATTCATAAGATAGAGAGGTTTAATTAGTTTTTTTGTTTAGTTAGAGTGCGAAAGAAAATTTCTTTTGGTTTGAAATTTTTGTAATTGAAAACATTTTGAGTGTTCGTTCGTTGAGTGTTTGAGTGTTTTTGTTTTTGTTCGTTTTTGTTCGTTGATTTGCTGGTTTTCTTATTGTTTGCTAAGGTTGCATTACATGTCTTTATGTTGAGGCCTTCTGAATATGGTTTTGATAGTTGAGGTATTATTTGTGAATCTTTTGGTGTTTATTTTTTTACTATAATGTTTGTTATTTTTGGTTTAGAAGTTATCATATCTTTGAGGGATTTATTGTTAGTGGTTATGCGTCTTTGTTTGTGTGACTTAAGTCTATTTTCAATTTACATTTTTCTGGAGTTAGTTCTATTTTGGGTGGTATTAATTTTATGGCTACATGTGGTAATCCTTTTTCTTAAAAGCATTTGTTTTGGTTTTTGGGTCCTCCTGAGGTTTATATTTTGATTTTCGTTGCTTTTGGTGTTGCTAGTCAGAGGAGATTATATTTGACTGATAAGTAGGAGGTTTTTGGTTATTGGGCATGGATTATGCTATGTTGAAAATTGCTTTAATTGGTTGTGCAGTTTGGGCTCATCATATATATACTGTAGAATTCCTGTGCTTTTTTTGCTTTTTCTGCTACTATAGTTATTGTTGTTCCTATTGGTGCCAAGGTTTTTACATGGTTGACTACTTTTATGGTATGCAGATGGTTTTCAGCCAGTGTTACTGTGGATTTTGGGTTATGTTTTTTTATTTACTGTGAGTTTATTTGATTTTATTGTTTTTTATTTTATTTATTATGTTTCCTGGTGTTATTTTATCTTGGTCTACCTTAGATGTTGTTTTACATGATACCCGTTATGTAGTTAGTCATTTTCACTGTTTTCAAGATGAGGGCTGAGTTTGGAGTTTTTGTGGTATTAATCTCTGATGTACTTTTTTGGCTGGTTATATTTATGATAAAATTATCATAGAATCCTATGGGCCTATATAAAAATTATTTGGTACTGTAGCATTTTTAGCTGTTTTGTTTGATTCTTTTTTTTTCTGGTCGTGCTTTTGTATCTGATTATAGTAATAATTATAGTAATAATAGTGGTTCGACATGAGGTTAGGGATATTTAACATGGTTCATTGCTCTTATTCTGGTTTTTATCTTTTTGTCTTCTGTTCTAGAATTAACACCATTTACAGTTATGATTTTCGAAATATACAAGTAGGAAATAAAAATAAAGAAAAAATTCGAAAATGAATATTTTAATTTCTGTATTTCATCGACAAAACGAATAAATATAATAGTAAGAAAAAAAGTAAAGGAAAATAATTGTTAGGATAACAAATATTAACTAGCAAAAAAAGCTATAAATGTTATAGAAAAAAACAGTGTGACAAAAATAAACATTAGAAAGCATTAGGCAAAGACAGCAGCAAGCAAAAGAGACCGCTAGATAGGTTAGAGTACGAAAGAGTCAATGAGATTATTAGAATGGTGAGAATAAGAATGAGCGTAACAGCTAATGAGACTATTAGAATGAGTTTGCCAGAAATGATAGAGTAGGAAGGAGCGTGAAAGTAAATAACTGATAGGGTAACATTAGGCAAAAATAGCAGCTAGCAAAAGAGGCCG